ATTGTCTCTAATGATAATGTAGTTATTCTAACATTTTAAGCTTCTTCTCTGGAACCACTGAACCAGTTTTAACCAATTTTCACATAAAGCATCTATGGGTCAAGGTGAACAAAAATTAGGAATTTCGTGGCCCCTGCCCCCCTGGTGCCTGAGGGGTGGGGTTAAAATCATAAAAATTACCTTCATGATTTCCGAACGATAACTAGAGTTTGGAAAGAGATATTGTAATCAAACTTGGTATATTGGTATTGTTTTTGGGCCCCCTGGGGTCAAGGTCACTGTTACTTTAAGTACAAAAATGGTTTCGGGACAATAACTAGAGTTAGGAATGAGATATTGTGATATAATTTGCTATATAGCAAGCTTATATGAAGACCCAGGTTGGTATTGCATTTGGACCCCCTGGGGTCAAGGTAAATGTCACCTTTACTAAAAAATAGAAAAATGGTTTCCGGACAATTGCTTGAATTAGAAAATTTATGAGAATTATCAAACTTAACAAAGTGAAACTTCTGAAAACCTAACACCTGTTGGACAAGCCAAAAATGTTCGGATGTTTTCAGGATTTCAGAAGTTTGGAATTATCTGTACAAGTAGAAACATTAGGTTAACATTGAACAATATAGGAAGTTTATTAAATTCATAAAATGGCAAAATTATAGGACTTTTAAGAAGTTAGAACCACATTGTATATTAAAATTCATTATCACCTTAGTATAACTGAATTTGTTGATATTCATGTTGTTCCAGCTATTTATAAACTGTGTTTCTGTTTTCATGCCCCCGTCATTTAAAGGCTGGGGCATAATAGTGGTCACCTGTTCCATCATTCCGTCATTCTAATATTCCGTCATCATCAGTTTCCGTTCATTATCTTAGTAACGGTTGCACACATTTAATTCAAATTTGGCATATTGATATGTCATGTGAAGATACAGGTCAAGTTCAAATTTGGTCATGGTTTTATGATTTTTGGCAGAGTGATGCCCCTTTTACTCTGAAAATAATATGAAATTTTCATGGCAGAGTTATGTCCCTTTTACTCTGAAAATAATATGAAATTTTCAGTTTCTGTTCATTATCTCTCCAACGGTACTACACATTCAAAGTCACACTCAAAGTTGACATATGGATATGTCATGAGAAAATACAGGTCAAGTATAAATTTGGTCATGGTTCGATGATTTTTGGCAGAGTTATGCCCCTTTTACTTTGAAAATAATATGAATTTTTCAGTTTCCGTTCATTATCTCCCCAACGGTATTACACATTTAACTTTAATTTAACATATGGATATACGTCAAAGGAATGCATAGGTCCACTTCAAATTTAGTCATGGTTCAATGATTTTTGGCAGAGTTATGCCCCTTTTACTTTGAAAATAATATGAAATTTTCTGTTTCTGTTCATTATCTCCCCTACACTATAACACATTCAACTCAAATTTGACATATGGATATGTCATGAGAAAATACAGGTCAAGTTTGAATTTGGTCATGGTTCAATGATTTTTGGCAGAGAAATGCCCCTTTTACTTTGAAAATTATATGGAATTTTGGAATTTTCAGTTTCTGTTCATTATCTCTCCAACGGTACAACACATTCAACTCAAACTTGACATATAGATATGTCCTGCGAAAATACAGGTCAAGTTTAAATTTGGTCATGGTTTGATGATTTTTAGCAGAGGTATGCCCCTTTTACCTTGAAAATAATATGAAATTTTCAGTTTCTTTTCATTATCTCCCCAACGGTATTACACTGTGATTCAACTCAAATTTGACATATGGATACGTCAAAGGAATGTGCAGGTCAAGTTCGAATTTGGGCATGGTTCAATGATTTTTTGCAGAGAAATGACCCTTTCACTTTGAAAATTATATGAACTTTCTGTTCATTATCTCCCCAACAGTGTTATATATTCAACTCAAATTTGACATATAGATATGTCAAAGAAATGCGTAGGTCAAGTTCAAATTTAGTCATGGTTAGATGATTTTTGGCAGAGTTATGTCCCTTTCACTTTGAAAATAATATGAAACTTTCAGTTTCTGTTCATTATCTCCTCTAGGGTATTACACATTCAACTAAAATTTGACATATGGATACATTTAAGAAATACGCAGGTCAAGTTCAAATTTTGTCATGGTTCGATGATGTTTGGCAGAGTTATGCCCCTTTTACTTTGAAAAAAAGGAAATTTTCAGTTCCCATTCATTATCTCCCCAACAGTTGTACATATTCAACTGAAATTAAAGATATGGATATGTCATAAGAATGCAATTTGGTCATGGTTTGATGATAGCTGACAGAGTCAACCCTCTTGAACTTTGAAAAAAAATCAGAAATTTTAAGTTTCCGTTCATTATCTCCCCAATGGTTGTACACATTCAACTCAAATTTGACATATTGATACATCTTAGGAATAAGCAGTTCAAGTTTGAATTTGGTCGTGGTTCAATGATTTTAGACAAAGTTATCTTTTTTGAATGTTGGAAAATTTTTGAATTTTAAGTTTCAGCACTCATACTTTTGTGGAAATGTATGTAGCCATTAATTTGGCTACAAATATGCAATATGAAATTAACTAAAGGTAAACACTGAGTAGTTTCAGTGCCTTGAACTTTGTTTGAAAATGGTTTCTGTTAACAATGAATAGTTTTAAGGGCTTTGAACTTAAAATGAAAAAAAATAATTTGTGCAAACAAATTTGGAACTAAATATAAAATCTGAAATTTTGGCTGCATGTTGCGTGACGACACATTTCTAGTTTATCATAATATATTTCTATTTATGCCACCGCAGCATCTGCGATGCGGTGGCATATAGCGATTCACCTGTGTGTATGTATGTATGTATGTTTGTGTGTTATATAGATTATATAGTGAACTTCAAAAATCTTCTTGTGAAATACCACTGGTCCAATTTCAACCAAACTTGGCAGGATTGATCCTTTGGTGAAGGGCTTCCAAAGTTGTTCAAAGAATTTCATTCCATGCAGAAATCTGGTTGTCATGGCAACCAAAAGGAATTATAAGAATAAATTTAAAAAATCTACTTGTAAAGACTCAAAAAGCCTAGAGCTTAGATATTTTGCATAAGGCATTGTCTGGTAGACTCTACCAAGGTTGTTCAAATTATAGCCCTGGGGTCAAAATCGGCCCCGCCCCGGGGGTCATTGATTTTCACTATATGTACAAATAGTAAAAACTTTAAATATTTTCTTGTAAAGACCCAAAAGGCCTAGAGCTTAGATATTTTGCATAAGGCATTGTGTGGTATACCTCTACCCAGATGTTTCAAATTATAGCCCTGGGATCAAAATTGGCCCCGCCTCGGGGAGTCATCGGTTTTCCTTAAATGTATATAGTAAAAACTTTAAAAAAAATTCTTCTAGCAATTGACAAATGCTAGAGGTTAGATATTTTGCATGAAACATTGTGTAGTGAACCTCTAGCAAGATTGTTCAAATTAAAGCCCTAGGGTCAAAATTGGCCCCGCCCCCGGGGTCATGGCTTTTCAATATACACATATAGTGAAAAATAAAAAAATCTTATTGTCTGAAGGTACAAGGCTTAGAGCTTTAATATTTGTTAAATGATATCATCTACTCTACCAAAGATGTTCAAATTTTGCCTCTAGTGTCAAAATTAGCCCCGCCCCAGGGGCCATAGGTTTTCCTTATATGTATATAGTAAAAACTTAAAAAATCATCTTCTCTAAATTTACAAAGGCTAGAGTTAAGATATTTTGCATGAAACATTGTGTAGTGAACCTCTAGCAAGATTGAACAAATTATAGCCCTGGGGTCAAAATTGGCCCCACCCCAGGGGTCATTGATTTTCACTATGTACATATAGTAAAAAATTAAAAAATCTTCTTGTCTGAAGGTACAAGGCTTAGAGCTTTGATATTTGGTATATAATATCATCTATGGGTCCTCTACTAAAGTTGTTTTAATTATGCCCCTAGTGTTAAAATTGCCCTGCCCCAGAGGCGATAGTTTTCCTTATATGTATAAAGTAAAAACTTGAAAAATCTTCTTCTCTGAATTGACAAAGGCTAGAGGGTAAATATATGGCATGAGACTTTGCGAAGTGAACCTCTACCAAGATTGTTCAAATTATAGCCCTGGGGTCAAAATTGGTTCCGCCCCTAGATTTTGATGATGTGACCTACTTTCTTGTCCTTTGATGTACAGCTATGAAATTTGAACCATGTGCACAGATTAAGATGTAAAGTGAACTTTGATATCAGCTGACCTAGATTTTGAGTGTCTTACTGTGTTGTCCTTTGATGTAGTCATGAAATTTAGGCTGTGTGAAATATGACCTTCACCACCAAATTCACTAGACTCAAGTGCATTGATATATTCCTACTCTGATCTTTTATTGGATTAACAATAGATTTAACCACTAATCTGATAATAAGAATTAGATAGGTCAGGGTCAGGGATCTATGCATTATTACAATCTTCAATTGTGTAGAAACAAAAAAATCTGTTCCTACACTACTATTTAGTGTTGTATTAATGCGGTGGCATAGCATTTTTCTCAAATGCAATTTACCCTTGTTTTTGATTTTTCACACTTTAATCAACTACGGGTTGTGATTGTAATAGGTGTCAAGATAAATGGTTTCTGCTAATTGGAAGATACTGACATTTTGAAGGTTTTTACAATCTCAATTACAATATTCCTCCACACCTTTTTCAATTTCCGGATTTTGAAAGTATTTAATTTGAATTGATATAATCCAAATTTTACTGGAAAATTGTTTGGAATTCAGAATTTAAAAGTTCCTGAAGTTCCTGAATTCAGAGGTATTTGTTACATAAAAAAACAGAAGGAGAATTTCGGGACCCAGAAAAATGTTTTGATTTTAGAAGTTTCTGGATTTTAGAAGTTCCGGAATTCAGAAGTAACACTGTATATACCTTATATGAAGACCTGGGTTGTTATTGCTTTTGGACTAAAACAAATTTAGTGAATGGTTTTCAGAGTCTGATGGCTATGTTTCAGAAGTCAGAAGAAGGGAAGCGAGGACCTAATGCAGAGGAAATTAAAAAAGCAACATCATCAGTGCAGCGGTTTGAGAAACCAGAGACAAGCTTATCTACCATTGCTACAGCCATTGATGTAAGTTATTATGTTATTATACCCCTGCAAACAAAGACTTTATACCCCTACAAAGAATTTGAAGGGGATATACTGGAGTTGAATTTAGGACATTTGCTTCCTTGAACAAATGTTCAAATGTATGCAGTGCAATTATCTGGAGGTACAAAATTAATGTTCATTTTCAAATGAAGTCAGCTTGTCCCCTTGCTGTTAGTAGCTATGCATCCATGGAAATAAATTTTACTTCCTCTGCTTTATGGAAGGATTTATGGCCTTTTGCATAATTTGATGGTATGAAACAATTTGCGTACATATTTGTACAATTTAAAGTCTGTCCGTCCGTCACACTTTCGTGTCCGGTCCATAACTTTGTTATTTATCAAAGGAATCTTGGCACAAATGTTTGTTATAATAAGACAATGTGTCATGCACAACAACCAGATCCCTACCTCTAGGGTCAAGGTCACACTTGCTCATTCAAGGTCAACATTGTCTATTTAAGGGTATATGTCGTGTCCGGTCCATAACTTCCTTATATTTGAAGGGATTTTGTAAATACTTGCCACAATTGTTCACAATAATGAGACGATGTGTAATGAGCAACAACTGGTCACCTACCTCCAAGGTCAAGGTCACACTTGGAGGTCAAAGATTAACATAGTCTATTACATGGTATATTTTGTGTCCGGTCCATTACTTTGTCATTTATCAAAGGAATCTGAAATTACTTAGCACAATTGTTTGTTATAATAAGACAATGTGTCATGCGTAACAACCAGGGTCAAGGTCACACTTGCTCATTCAAGGTCAACATTGTCTATTTGAGGGTATATGTTGTGTCTGGTCCATAACTTCCTTATCTTTGAAGGGATTTTGTAAATACTTGCCACAATTGCTCACAATAATGAGACAATGTGTCATGCACATCAACCGGTCACCTACCTCCAAGGTCAAGGTCACACTTGGAGGTCAAAGATTAACATAGTCTGTTACAAGGTATATTTTGTGTCCAGTACATAACTTTTTCATAGATCAAAGGAGGGGATTTTGTTAATACTTGCCACAAAAAGTCACTATAATAAGACAATGTGTCATGGGCCACACCTGCATCCCTACCTCCAAGTTCAAGGTCACACTTAGAGGTGGAAAAGTAACATAGTCTGTTTTAGGGTATATTTTGTGTTCGATCTAGAACTTCTTCGTGATTTTGAAATAACTAGGCACAAATAGTCACAATAATGAGACGATATGTCAAGTTGAACACCTGCATCCCTACCTCCAAGGTCAAGGTCACACTTAGAGGTCAAAGGTTAACAGAGTCTGTTATATGGCGATTTTGTGTCAAAATGAAAGGAAAAGCGAATTCGAGCTGTACTCTGGACTTAAGATAATTAATTGTTCTTTGTCATTACTCTCAACATGCATGACCAAGGTTCATAACTCTAGCATCTTTTTTCAAGAGCTTTTACCTCTTTGACCTTATAATTTTACTTTAAAAACTTTTGCTCTTGTCATTTTTAGTGAGATTTTTTTTTTTTTTAAAGTAGAGGTATTGTTATAGTCCTGGTGGCGTTGTCGTTGCCGTTCGCAAACTTGTACCTGGATCATAACTTTTTATATGCCCGAAAGAATTTCGGGCATCACACAGGACAGTAATTATGTGGCTAGAGGGACAATAGGTAACTGTTCTTTCTCTTTGATGTCATTCATTCCGTAATGCTTTTATTTGGCTATTTTCTTTAGAGTGGCTAAAAAGAACAAAAGAGAGAACAATAGAGTAGCCACATTATTACTCTCCTGTTAGAATTTCTGTCCGTCCATTAGCAATTTGGTTTCCTGACCATAACTTAAGTTCCATTGGGCTCACAATATTTAAATGTCATAGCATGATTGTCCATATTGGGTAGAAGACCCATATCGATTTTGGGGTCACAAAGTCAAAGGTCAAGGTCACTATGACCTTAAGACTGAAAACAGTTTTCAGAGCATAACTGAAGTTTCATTTGTCCCACAATATTCAAACTTCATAGGATGATTGTCCATATTGGGTAGACGATCCCTATTGATTTTGGGGTCACAAGGTCAAAGGTCAAGGTCACTATTACCTTAAAACTGAAAACAGTTTCTGAAGCATAACTTAAGTTCCATTTGGCCCACAATATTTAAACTTCATAGGATGATTGTCCATATTGGGTAGAATACCCCTATTGATTTTGGGGTCATAAGGTCAAAGGTCAAGGTCACAATGATCTTTACACTGAAAATTGTGGTTTTTAGAGCATAACTTAAATTTCATTTGGCCCACAGTGTTCAAACTTCATAGGATGATTGTCCATATTGGGTAGAAGACCCCTATTGATTTTGGGGTCATAAGGTCAAAGGTCAGGGTCACAATTTTTTTTTCTTCTTCCAAGATATATACACACACGCACGCACATACATACATACATTTTTTTCTTCCTTTATATATACAACTCAAAATTTGCTAAGGATCACCTTTTCAACATTGCATATTTCAGTCCTATTATCATCATCATATTTACGCTAACGATACACCTGTACAGGGACGTCATAATTGTGTACTTAAGTTATCAATTTGTCATGTACACCTTGCACGATAAGCATGTGGTTAAGCATACCCAGAGCGTTGTCTCAAGGATGTGGAACCGATTTCAAATGACTGGAAATGTCTTGCAGGGCCATGCCTGAGATCTTTCAACGACTCAAGCCCAGGATCGATTTATTGTTCTTCAGGCCAGGCGCCAACGGTTCTCGAACGCTACAACCTTACATAACGACTTCCAGAATGCTACTGGTGTGTTTGTAAGCACACACACTGTTAGAAACAGGTTGCATGATGCTGGATTAAGGTCATGGAGGCCAGCAATTTGCATTACTTTGACACAACGCCATAATCAAGAGCGTTCGCAATGGGCACAGACTCATGTCACATGGACAGTTAATGATTGGACCCCGGTCCAGCGTCACTGATGAGTCAAGGTTTTTGTGGACTTACGGACAGATGGGCTAGGGTTTGGAGAAGTCCAAATTAAAGCTTAGCTCCAGCATGAACACAACTGTTTTGGCTGGGGTTCAGTCATGATGTGGGCGGGAATAAGTGCTCAGGGGAAAACAGACCTACATCATTGAAAACTGTACACTGACTGCAGTAAGGTACCGTCATAACGCTAGTGCACAGCCCCGTTTTTTTTTTATACAATACCCTTGCAACAGGCCCATCACAAACCCATATATTTAGGAGCAACTATAAATTTTTCATGGATTTTGGCCAGCAAGTTTTCCTGATTTAAATGTAATAATTTATAATTTTATCACCCCTTTCTCAACTGGTTTCAGTTAATTTTTGATATATACAGTACACCTTAGAGATTTCGTGCTTATTGTGGCCCACATTATACATGAAATACACCCCTGATAAAGGGCAAAATAGCTGAAATACTTTTTTTTGGGGTTTTATTTTAAAAATTTAGCACTGTATGAATGTTTTATTTTCTCCAAATTTTTATTAAAAATATTATAGACCAGAACCTACCCCGAAAAAATTAATTAAAAGGAAAAACAACTTTTTTCTTTACCATTTGTCTAAACCGTTTATTTGTTTGCTTTTAGAAAAAGGAAAAAAGTCGAGTGTTGCCTCTGCCGGGCGGTGGCTCTTGTTCACAATATTCTCATGCGGTTAAAGCATAGAAATTTCTGTTTAGCATTTATCGACAAGGTCATATCAGATTATGTTGTGCAAAAATATAGAACATTTCAGAACTTTCTTGATACTGATACAGTCATAATTGATTTTTCTTTCATAGTTTTGTCTTCCTTACTGCGTCCAGTATTTAATTAGAAAGCTTCGCTGTCTTCAGCTCTTGTTGACAATATAACGGTTTTATTAATCCAGACATAACATCTTTACAATCAGTTCAGATATATGCCACTAAAGTTAAAGGTACATGTACATTGCAGGAGTAGTGTTTATAAATAAACTATTTTTAAGAAGAAAATGCCTAACTGACAGCTATACTGTTTACAAAGTGACACATCTGACCAGCAGAGTTCTAGTTATTTGTTAATTAAGAGTTAAGGTTATTTACTTTGATCTTTATTAGTCCCCTACCGGTTTAACCGGAGGGGACTTTAGGTTTACCCTCCGTCCGTCTGTCTGTCAGTCTGTTTGTCTGTTTGTCTGTTTGTCTGTCTGTCAGTCTGTCCATCCACAAAACTTGATCCCGCGATAACACAAAAAGTACTGAAAATATTTTAATGAAACTTGATATATGGATAGATGGCAGTATGGAGATTATGCACGTCTTTTTCTTTTCTTCCTATGTTGAAAATTCTGGTTGCTATGGCAACTAATAGTCTGAAAATATGGCAAATTTAACACATAAACTGGATCCAGTGATAACTCAAAAAGTACTGAAAATATTTTTATGAAACTTAAAATATGGGTAGATGGCAGTCTGGAGATTATGCACATCTTTTTATTTTCTTTTTATGTTGAAAATTCTGGTTGCTATGGCAACAAATAGACTGAATTTCAATATTTCTGATTTAAATTTTTAAGCTTTTTCACTATAAGTTCTTTATTTCTTAAGGTGTTTACTTCAAACTTTAAATATAAGTTTCTGGTCATCAACCACATCATATGTGACAAGGTTTACAACTCTAGCACAAAAATTATCAGAATTACCTCCCTTGAACTTAGAATTTTTTATGAAAAAAATGTTGTCTTTTTTAAATAACTTCTTTATTTCTTAATGTATCTACTTCAAACTTCATATATATGTTTCTTTTTATCACTCAACATTTTTGAGAAGGTTAAATACTCTAGCAAGACTATTTTCAGAATTATGTCCCCCCTTGAACTTAGATTTTTTTCGAGAAATTGGTATTTTTTACTCCAACTTCTTCATTCCTTTAAACTTAAAGTAAAACTGACATCATATATGACAATGTTCATAAATCTAGCATCTTTATTTCAAGAGTTATCTTCTCTTTAAGAATTTTGCATTAAAATATGTTATATTTTGGTAACAGGGATGTTTGAAAAAAACAACTTTAGAGTCTCCTTCAGTCTGTCTGTATGTACCGTATGTCTGTCTGTCTGTTCATAAAAACTGTTTTCTGAGATCACTTTTAAAGATTTTTTCCAACAAATTTACTTAAAAAAGAGAAAAATTGAAACATTAGTTATTCTTATTCATCCAGAGAAAATTGGACCTTTTGATTATCTGTTGTATAAACATAATTTCCTTACTAGGCACATTACTGTGATATAGACAAACTTAGAACTCAAAAGATTTAAGTTCATTCATGTCATTCATTCACTGGTAAAATTGAATGGCCAATGGCCCATCAGAATGTTGCTGGGGTTCTAACCGGTAGGGGACTTATGGATTGCTTGCAATACTATGATAATTGTTTGTTTGTCTAGTTTCAGACTGAGTTAAGGAAAATTCTTATTTCACTGATTGAAGTTTCACAAAAACTTCTCTGCCTTAATCCTGAAGCTTCAAAGATTTTCTCTCAAGCAGAAGGTAATGTTTATAGCTCACCTGAGCACCAAGTGCTCAGTGGTAAGCTTTTGTGATGGCAGTGTGTCCATCGTTCATCGTCTTTCATCCCTCGGTCACAATTTACACAAATCTCTCCCTGACTTTTTGTATGGATTTTGATCAAACTTCTCAGGAATGATCCATAGGTAGCACCCAGAGCATTTATATGCCACGGCAGCATCTGCGATGCAGTGGCATATAGTGATTCACCTGTCTGTGTATGTGTGTGTGTGCGTTTGTGCATACGTGTTCTATAGATTATATAGTGAACTTAAAAAATCTTCTGCTGAAAAACGGTAAGTCTAAATGCAGGAGTTGTTCAATGAATTTGATTCCATACAGAAATCTGGTGGCAATTATAAGAATAAATTTGAAAATCTTTCTGTAAAGACCCACAGACCCTTGAGCTTGCATTAGGCATTGTATGGTAGACCTCTACCAAGATTGTGCTTGCCCTGGGTGTTATTGATTTTCCCTTTGTACATAAAGTAAAATCTAAAAAAATCTACTTGTCTTAAAGCTACATTAAATAAATATGTAAAAATATTTTGCCGTCGGCCTAAAAATCAAACATTCTACAGTTTCATTAACCTGTTTAACAGTATTGTTGTAAATCTCATTAAATATGGTTCATAAATTAGGATTTTAAACGGAAAACCCCACGGTAACACTAAAGTTCGTATACGAATTTTAACATGCAAATGAAGACTAAAATCAGGTCGTGTATGCGCTACGTCACAGTTTTATAGTTACTATCCGGAACACAGCAAATATGATATTTTCTTGTGCAAACACACTTTACCGTTTTATCTTCACGGTGCACTAAGCCTGGGGTTCAGTGAAAGTAATCATCTCTTAAAAAGATTAAATTTGTATGAAAACATCCGTTATAATGCGGAAATATACCGTTAAATTAGGACTGCTACTTATAGTCATGTTTGTTGATTTAATATTGATGTACGGATGATCCCAAGGCGGAGTTTCTCATGCAAACAGAAATTGTACTTCCCACTTCGACACAATGAGGTTACCCATTTGTATGCTAATAAAACTCATTTTGGTTGTCAGGACACCAAAATAAGACCTGGAGTCGATATAAAACCCAATAAATTAATGAAATGTCGCTATTTAGTTTTTTATGAAATTTATTAAATGTAGCTTTAAGGTATTTAGTATAATTATGATATCATCTAGTTGTTCAAATTTTGCCTCTAGTGTCAAAATTAGCCCTGCCCCAGGAGGTCATAGGTTTACCTTATATGTATATAGTAAAAATTTAAAACATCATCTTCTCTGAAATGACAAAGGCTAGAGGTTAGATATTTTGCATGAAACATTGTGTAATAGACCTCTACCAAGATTGTTCACATTATAGCCCTGGGCTCAAAATTGGCCTTGCCCCGGGGGTTATTGATTTTCGGTATGTAAAATATTAAAAACTTAAAAAATCTCCTTGTCTGAAGGTACAAGGCTTAAAGCTTTAATATTTGGTATATAATATCATCTATAGGTACTCTACCAAAGTTTGACCACCAAATTCACTAGACTCAACTACATTATGGCAAAGTTCAATTGTATAGAAAAAAAAAATCTTCTGTTCCTACACTAATGTGTTAGTGTTGTATAAATGTGGTGACATAGCATTTTTCACAAATTCAATCTGGGGTCAAAATTTGCCCCATCTTGGGGTTATTGTTAGTCCCCTACCGGTTTACCGGAGGGGACTTTAGGTTTACCCTCCGTCCGTCTGTCCGTCCGTCTGTCTGTCCGTCTGTCTGTCAGTCCGTCCGTCCACAAAACTGGATCCCGCGATAACTTGAAAAGTACTGAAAATATTTTTATGAAACTTGGTATATGGATAGATTGCAGTATGGAGATTATGCACGTCTTTTTCTTTACTTCCTATGTTGAAAATTCTGGTTGCTATGGCAACAAATAGGCTGAAAATATGGCAAATTTTACACATAAACTGGATCCCGCGATAACGCAAAAAGTACTGGAAATATTTTTATGAAACTTGACATATGAGTAGATGGCAGTCTTGAGATTATGCACGTCTTTTTCTTTTCTTCCTATGATGAAAATTCTGGTTGCTATGGCAACAAATAGGCTGAAAATATGGCAAATTTTACACATAAACTGGATCCAGTGATAACGCAAAAAGAACTGGAAATATTTTTATGAAACTTGACATATGGGTAGATGGCAGTCTTGAGATTATGCACGTCTTTTTCTTTTCTTCCTATGTTGAAAATTCTTGTTGCTATGGCAACACATAGACTGAAAATATGGCAAATTTTACACATAAACTGAATCCAGTGAAAACTCAAAAAGTACTGGAAATATTTTTATGAAACTTGACATATGGGTAGATAGCAGTTTTGAGATTATGCATGTCTTATCTGTTCTTCCTATTTTGAAAAAATATCAGTTGCCTTGGCAACAAATAGGCTTAAAACATGGCAAATATAACAATATTTGTGATTAGTCAAAAAGAGCTGAAAATTTTTATGAAATTGCATCTTTAATTCAAGAGTTATCTCCTCTTTAAGAATTTTGCTTTTAAAATGTTATATTTTGGTAACAGGGATGTTTCAAATATTAACTTTAGAGTGTCCTTCAGTCCGTCTGTCTGTCTTTTCATAAAAACTGTTTCCTGTGATCACTTTTAAAGAACTTTTCCAACAAATTTACTTAAAATAGAGAAAAATTGAAACACTAGTGAATGGCCAATGGCCCATCAGAATGTTGATGGGGTTCTAACCGGTAGGGGACTTATGGATTGCTTGCAATACTATGATAATTGCTTGTTTTTCATAATGTACATGTAGTTAAAATTTAAAAACTTTCTTGTCTGAAGGTACAAGGCTTAGAGCTTTAATATTTGGTATATAATATCATCTATAGGTACTCTACCAAAGGTGTTCAAATTTTGCCCATAATTTCAAAATTGGCCTGGCCCCAGGGTCATAGGTTTTCCTTATATTTATATAGTGAAAACTTTTTAAAATTCATCTGTGAATTTACAAAGGCTAGAGGTTAGATATTTGGCATGAAACATTGTGTAGTAGACCTATACCAAGATTGTTTAAATTATAGCCCTTGGGTCAAAATTTGCATACCCTGGGGTCTTTGATTTTCATTATCTTTGTAACATAAAGTAAAAATTTAAATCAAAGTGCTGAAAGCACTGGATGTAACGGACATGAAAAGAGAATTGCATAAACACTGTAAAAAAAGGATCAAACATCAGTCATGTTGCACCAAGAAATCCATTACTCAGTCTAAATCTATGTTAGATTCTTGGGGTTCAGAGAGTAACCTCTGTTTATTATCTCAAAAACATATACCTATTTATTTTGTTTCAAATTAATGCCTTTATTTCTGAAAATTGATGTTACATACTAAAGCTTAAACCTGCAACTTATCTATTTTAGCCACTAGATGATGCTAGGGCAGGTTTTCATGGTATTTTTGACATGTTTCACATCTATCAGCCCTTTTTTGAAATAGTAAAATAACCAAGAAGTATTTTGCCTAAAAACATTTTGTATAACTTTTTTGTACTTTGTGAGAAAAATATTAGTAAACTGTCAAAAAATTTCAAATCCCAGTACAGAATAAATGGGGTCATGAACTCCAGATTGTAAACAAACAAAGATCCATATCTATATTGGGGTCACAAGGTCAAAGGTCAATATCAAATGACCTTAACAGTTTTACAACTGTCAAACTTCATAGGATGATCAATAATATCGAGTACATACCCCTGGCGTCTTTCTTTCCATCCGTCATAGCAGTTTTACTTACAAGATAACAACTTGATGGTGGTGCTTTGGAAACAGCAACTGTATATATATATATAAAGGTTCATCAGCTATAAAGGAGGATTGCTTTTTGAAGGAGGTACCGGTAATACTTTCTTTAATTTCCATGTCTTACAAATGCTTCATCCTTACTAAAAAAATAATTCTATCAGGCATATAATGCTCCGCCTAGAGGTCTTCTTGTTAGAGATTAATTGCTCACAGGCGTGGAGCTATTTTTGTTTGCAAATTTTTTTGCCCATTTTGATCATTTACTGGTCAGAGACCATCAACCGGACACTTTTGGAACATTTTTCCTGACAGATTTCATAATTTTTAACCTAGAGACCAAAAAATTTGACACAGTTCAGCTAAGTTCTCCTCCTAACTAACAAACTAGTTTGTTTATTTTTGATTGTATTGACACTTATATCTGAGGCTCAACAAGGAGGGTATAAAATTACCTAAATTGTCTACACTACAGTACCAAGTGTCCGGACAGATATGTACATGATGTGATTTAATTCAGATAAAAGCTTGGGTGTTTTGATTTTTTATTTGTAACATGATATACAATATGTCAGCAACAAATTCTGAAGTTTTGGATATTCTATTATTCACTCTGCAAATGATTATAGCTGGTATATGAGGTCAGGCATTGCTTTCTTGACCCCCGAATTTCAAAGTCAACATTCTTGAAATAGTCATTAAAATATTACCGTTTACGGAGGTTGAAATAAACTTATTTACTTAATTTGAAAAGAAACATGCACTTATTGTTGATAAAAAGTGACTGACAACCACTGAACAAAGAAAATACTAAATTAAGCATTTTCGGGGCCGTCCGGGTTTGGTGGTTGTCCGGTTTTGGTGGTCCCCAACCAGTACTACTTTTGGCTACAAGATAACAAAAATAGCCACTAGATTTCCTGTACATTATGTAATCTCATGTAGCAGAGAGATGTAGTAAATACCCTGCTGTGAGTTGAACAACTACTGGATGATTCACCACAAGTGCTCCGGTTTAAACTATGGATTTATTTTCTTATCATAATATTTTCCCCTTTTGATTTTTATAGTTAGATCATCACAGATTTGAAAAAAAAGAGTTCAATTTAGTTAATATATAGCAAGGGTGAAAGCACCATTTGTCGGAATGATTTATAGAAGCATGTA